TGTAGTCCTCAATTCTGCATCCTCTTCATAAATGAGCTACTGAACAGGATTGACATGTGTAAAAGTAGCTATAAAATTCACAACATAGTATGTGCATGTCCAACCTTAGCTGATGATATGGTCATCATTTCAAATGTCAAAAAAGGGCTCGATGAACTTATAGATACATGCTTCAATTATGCCAAAAAGGAACGTTATTTTTATAACGCAACGAAATGCAAAATTCTCGTTTTTAATGATAAATGTAGCAACAAAAGACTCTGGAAAATGGGAAGTAAAATTATAAGTGAAACTAACTCATATACCCATCTAGGCGTTCTTTAAACAAATGACATGAACCTTCGCGAAAACATAACCGAAAACTGCCATACACTTAGGAAAACATTCTTTAGCTTAACTTACAGTGGAATAGGATAAAAAGGAATAAACCCTATCACCTCAAGGCGTATCTACGAAACTGAGCGGTGTCTCAGCGACACAGTTACTTCCCTTGAAACGGGCACATAGATTATTCGCCAAATGGATTCAAGGCGTTCCATAATGAACTCGTACTGACATTGCTCTCAGTTGTTTAGGGATGTATCCGATTTCTAACCTTATTGATATAAGAAAACTTATCTTTTTGTCCGAACTATGTCATGCAGATTCAAATATGAAGTTTAAGCAAATTTTTGTAAATCGTTTAACATCACATTATGCACGACCTGCTAAATCTAAAGGCTTTATTCCCGACGTGATCAGTGTTCTTGGAAAATATAAACTATTTTCATATCTACATGACTTTTCAGAAACATGTTTCTTTCTATCTAAATATGCTTGGAAAAGAATAACCAAAATGGCGGTGCACGAGCATGTACTTTGTACTTGGAAATCTAGAGTAGAGCACGATGACGATATCAACCTATTTTTAAATAAACATTCCACATACGACTACAGCTCTATATGGATTTTTAAAGACATTTCCCGGTTTATAAAACACAATGCTTTTCATTGTTCAAACTGATGTGCAAATATTTCGAAAGAAAATATTCCGTTGTGTGTGACTATTGCAAGACGGTAACATACGAATATGCGTTACATAAAGTGTTTCATTGCTTACATTATGATAACATTAGATATAGTATATGGACAAAACTCATATCTTTGCTAGGACACAATTATTTCCGCATGTTAAGCGGTATGAGCATTGAAAACCAACTTATAGAGATGTTAAGTGGGTTCACAAGTTTTAATATAAATGACAGTATACGTAAACAATGTTTTATCGCAGTTGCCAAATTCTCAACTGAAATATTGTATGAATATCAGCGTTGCCAAAAAAATCTCAGAAAATCGTTAAGAATGATTGTTCTATTTATCCATGCCAATGATTTTCTAACAGTCATATGTCAATTTATATATGTTGATGTTTCATTGTCATATGTAAGCTTTCATATATGATCAATGTTTTGTTAACTATCATGTCATTTGTTTCGGAGGCTAATGCTTTATCACCGAGTAGTTTTAAAACTAGTCATGTGACTTGAACAAACCCTGGAAGTTACAATAACAGATATTGTTGATATTGTATGATTGAAACAAACTTAATTCATTCAGTTTACGTGTTCTTTAACGTTTCCAGAGTTCACTGTGACTACTGATGTGAAATGTTTACGTTCTAACCTGACCCACGTGGGTCAAATTGGGAAACCACCATTTTATTCTTTATAAGGAGAAAAGTTTTGTTCCTGGGACTGCCTTGTGTATTCATTTTGAGGACATGTACAGATTAATGAATGAAAAACTCAAAACAAAGAAATTGAAATTTTGCTTGTGTCTCCCTTTAAGAGAAATAAAATGACGGTAGCATGCAGTTTTTTTAATTACATGCAAATCATTTTACACGACAGTAGTTTTATTTTGCAGTTGTGCTAAAATCGGTTTAATCAAAAGATCGTTTGTTAAGCTCACACCACTTTCCTCGTGCGGAAAGTAGAATACATACACAATCTTCGTTTGGACCTGATTACCAGTCATTGACGAATGATTTCATTTTTTCCATGTGCAGTTCCGAAGAAATTTGAGAATTAACATTTTAAACAATATTTCATATTTATAAAATGTTGCAACAGAAGTGCCATTCAGTGTATATATGTTTTAAATACAAACTGTATTTCTGCATAAGTTCTTTTGTTCTTAAATAATATTTCAGTTTGGAAACACACGCACAAACCAGATAGTTTCACAGTTATAAAATATGTGTATGATCAATAGCCACAGTTATCACAATAATCCTCATTCATAGAAACACTGAACCAGAATATTGTCAACATATATCTTTTATTTTTCTCCGATTTCTCTTCGAAACTTTCATCTGCCAATTTCAATATGTTATGTGTCCCTACGAGGACATGCAACCATTACGGATAATATTCTATTTCTACGGTCCCATTCTCAACTACCTCTTCAGATCTGAGGTAGACGAATCCACACATAGTCTATAGTTTAAGATAAAATAAAATAAGCCAGATAGTAATTTAATTTGTGTTAATATAAACATTTTGTGGTTCCGGCCATGAAAAAAAACATTATAAAAATCAATCGAAAAACAGATTCAGTTTCTGTTACCTATAAACAATTAATATAAAATACATGCGATTAACATGTTATGATTATTGATTATGACTAAAGTATTCATTTACTTATAATAATTGAGATACAGTGTTTAAAGAAAACATGTATTACATCAAAATATTCATTCTACAATATCTTCAAGCTCAAGCTTAAGAATCCCAGCGTTCATCCAGCAATGTATTGTTTCATTATAATAATGAACACGGTTAAATTTTCGCTTTCGTCACTGTCTGTTATATTGTGTTATCTTGTTGTTTGAAAGGAGCGTTTGCCATTGATCTGTTCCATCCTCGCGTTGCTGTTCAAGAATTGCATTTGGATCATACGTGTCGGGGGTAAAAGAAAATGCCACATTCCTTCCTAGTAGTGTGCGTTTGTCAATACTCAATACGCAACACTTACGCACACCACCATCACCTATACAATTAACTAATACAATTACATTTTGCGCAATAACAATGTACGATTTTAAAATATATGATGTATATAAAAATTTAGAAACAAAGTGATGCATCGGAAGCATTAATCACAACAAAATTACAAGAGAATTGCAGAGTCTGTACATGAGGGATAATGAAAATGTGCAACATACCTGACGCCCCCAAGCACCGGCTTGATCGGTACTCAATTCTCGACACTTAAAAGTGCTGGCATCAATGATGCCGAAGGACCAGAAAATACAACAACTACGGAATCCCGTTTCCGCCATCGACTGGTCAGTTACTGTTAAATTACTAGTCCTTACATTTTAAGAAAAATCAGTTGTTAATTGAGATTATTATTTATTTTAAAAATATTCTTGTCATGTTCTTTTAGTTACTAGTCCATACACTATATTAACAAATTATATTGTTTAATATATGTTTATTTTCTGTAATATATTTAAAGACTAAGATGTTGCATTTTGAGGTATAAAACTAGAAAAAAATTAATATATCATAAAGCAATATATCGTGGTACGTATCATAATACAATACTAAGATATCGCAATATATCGTTGTATGCTCCTAGCGTATCGTGACAGCCCTATGAACAATTTACATTGTATAATATTAATTGAGAAAAAAAAAGAGAAAATATTGAATAAATGTTCATTCCTATCCCAAATTATGCTCCAAAGAAACAATATCATTACAATTAAGAAATAATGAATTAATTCAAATATTGTTAATATACTTTTATTAGAGAAAAACAGGGATCATTCACGTATCAATTCCTTATTTTAGTTTGTTTTATTTATACATTCATGATAATTATTATAATGTTATGTTTTAGAATGATGGGGTTTGTTTGTTTGAGATTGTATAATAACACTTAGAGCATTTGGTTGAGGTTACAACTTTGTTGTCTTTTATGTATGTTTATTAAAATAAAAATTGTATATCTTGTCATTAAATTATTTAAAGCTCAAACAATGTTCGAAAAAGAAAACTTACTAACAAGCAATTGCCTATTCTTATTTGTCATTTAAAATTGTTATAGAAACTATATCTTCTTAATACTGTTTAAAGCTACATTAAATAAATATGTTAAAATATTTTTGCCGTCGGCCTAAAAACCAAGAATTCTACAGTTTCATTAACCTTGTTAACAGTATTGTTGTAAATCTCATCAAATATCGTTCATAAATTAGGATTTTAAATGGAAAACCCCACGGTAACACTAAAGTTCGTATACGAATTTTAACATGCAAATGAAGACTATAATCAGCTCGTGTATGCGCTACGTCACGGTGTTATAGTTGCTATCCGGAACACAGCAAATATAAGATTTTCTTGTACAAACATACTTTTACCGTTTAAGCTTCACGTTGCACTAGGCCTGTGGTTCAGAAAAAATAATCATCTCATAAAAAAGATTAAATTTGTATGAAAATATCCGTTACAATGCGGAAATATACCGTTAAATTAGGACTGCTTCTTATAGTCATGTTTGTTGATTTAACATTGATGTACGGATGATCTGAAGGCGGAGTTTCTCATGCAAACAGAAATTGTACCTCGGAATTCACCAAAACGAGGTTGCACATTTGTATGCTCATTAAACTCATTTTGGTTGTCTGGACACCAAAATAAGATCTGGAGTCGATATGAAACCAAATTTATTAATGAAATGTCGCTATTTCTTTTTTTATGAAATATATTAAATGTAACTTAAAAATGGAATTTGCCAAAATAACAAATTATGATGTTTTGTATCATTGACAATACAACAATCTCGAAAGTAAAGTTTAACAAGCATTTTAAACCGACATATGGTATACCAGATATATTTCAAATTTTCTCAAAACATGTATTTTCTTCAAACCCGATGTAATCTTGATGTGTTTTAATTATACTTCTAACTGATTTATTGAGTTTCATTCGATTAATTAGATAATATACCACATGGGTAAGTTTTTCTTCTACTCCTAACCCTTTTGAACAACAATGAAAGCATAACCCCTCTAAGCTTTTTACTGAGGATTAGAAAACTAACAAAAGTGTATAAATATTTACATATTTACATGTATACATGCCTTACATGAAAAACAGTGGTCAAGTGAATAGTATTGTTGTAGTCACAGCAAGAAATAATTAATTTTATGATGTCAGGGGGAGTAACGACTGAATAGAGAAAAACTGATAGATTTTTTGAAAAGCCACATTACAGATAATATAAAAGTTGTGACAACTGGTCATGGGTGTTATCAGCAGTGGATTATAAAATTTAGCAAGATTCCTGACAAAATGAGAGTCCAAGCTGCTTGAGATGTCTGAAAATGTTTGTTACACCAATATTAAATCTGCTTTGGGACTAAAACATATATTAATAACTTACTGTTAAAGAACTGCTGTCAATATTTCTATAAGTCTACAGTAGTGTCTCTTTATGACAATATTTGTAGGGAAAGAGCTCTGCGTTTTATGTGAGTTCTTGATCCTGAAGGAGTGGAGATGAGAAGTAGACATTGTCTTACCAGAAGACAGTATAGAAATTCTGGGCCAAATTTTCTTGTGCACATTGATGGATATGATCAATTAAAAAGCTTTGGATTTGCCATTCATGGTGGCATTTGTGGGTAGGTTGAATTATCTTTAGCATGTAATATTATATGAACTATGATTTTAGACTACTGCAGACATTTAAATTTAACTCGACATATAACACATGTCCTCAGGATCAAGTTACTGATTATGTTGAGCAATTTATTTGCATTTTAACATTTTTAACTGGAATTTTTTTTGTAATTAAAAAATTGTTGTTTTGTTTTGTTTTTGTCATAGATATCTCCTGGAACATCTCATGAATCATTATGACAGATTACTGATCTGCATTTATTCGTCCTTGCAATTGGACACCTTTTTTAATTTTAACTTTAATATATTTTACTTTAAGGCAGGAACATTCAATGGAAAAGTTACCTGGCATCTAAAATTATGTCTGTTCCTTTACTTAATGACATATTATAATATTTTTCGGGGTAACACTAAAAAAAATCAAGCATGCTTTCATATGGCTAGCTCTTTTTTTATTCTTGAAGGTTTTCAAGAAAAGTGCTTTGGCTAAAAGTAGATAGGACCAACAATGATCCAGCTGTTGTTGATTCATATTACATTGATTTCATCAGAGAAATTACAGGTAAATTAAAACATTTGATTGCTTTTATTGTACAAGAAAATCATTCTTCTCTCATACATAATATTACAAATGTTATCAAGTAATGACTCCATGACGTGTTGTCTTACATTAGTTAACTTAACTGTCATTAACATGTATACAAAATACAAGCTTACCAAACCAGCAGCTTGATTATTGAATTTATTTCTGTTCAAAACGATATACTATGCTATCCTTATGTGCTTGTATGTAACTAAATCTAATTTTATATATAGATCGAGTAATCTGATTCATCCTCATCATATTGTTTTATCCATTTTCAAACGTTTGGCATTATGTTTAAACATGTAAAATCCTTCAAACATGAAACCTTACATGAATGTAACAGAGAACAAAAATGCACTAACGATTTGTAATGCCAATAACTGACACTAATTATCATACAAAAATACGTATCTGCCTGAACAACAATTAAACAAGTGTAATCGTTTCTTCACTTGAAATTTAAATATAAAGTAATAGAACAATGCGTCAAAGTCATCTTAGTTTTGGCACTTTCTTTAATGTTTCGGATTAAATAGCAGGGTCTACATGTTTGTAAACATCAATGAGTCGTTTGAAGAATGGGCGAGTCACCCCTCTGAGGTTATCTCGTGTGTACACTTTATGTTTGTTATTTAACAATGACAACAAATCGTGCAATGTTATTTTTACAAATGTGAGCGAGTGCTTTTATGTATTTATGACTAAAGAAACTATACAATCAGCGATGAAATTTCTTTTCATTTACTTGGCAATGTTCGACCAAATTTATCAGAATCTGGATAAAAACACAACAGTTTTTAGTAAAATCAGTGAAGGTATTAAATGATGTAAACTCTGTACAACACAATAGGTAAACACGATTGAATGCAGTGTCATATAAAACTGGTAGTTATTTAAAGAACGGACCAAGTTAACTTAACCAGTAGTAGGGAATGTAGCTTCAAAACAAACTTTGTGCATTCTCCTTTTCAAAAATGACATATCTTAAGTTAGTAAAAATTTTCAAGACTTCAATATTTTTTGCAAAACAAGTATTTTACTTAAGACTGACCACAGTAAAAATAAAAAAAAACAGACCAAGAAAAATACAACAACAAGAACAAAACAATAACAATAAACAATCATTCATACAAAAAAGACAACCCAACCCACAAAATCAATCGCTCTGTAAAGTAAGTGTTTGCCAACAGGCTATAATCTTAACGTCCAAGACTGATATTCTAAATCTAAGATACGATTTATCAACTATGCTTAAGGTCTGTATAAGTATGACATTTCTCTGCTCCCTGGTCCAGACCATCATACTGAGTTTGGCTGAAAATAGACATGTGGAAATCACTTGTAAATGTCATAAATGTGATAAAGTAGTTCGAGTTACAAAACTAAAATGATTATGCTAACATTTTCCGCATCAGTTTCCAGTATTTTGTCAACAATTTGTATTGTAACACTGTATATCATTTGGTTGGTACTGATCTGTACGCAATGAGCTAGTTACATCACTAGCTACATTGTCAAGGTCAAACATAAATTAAAATATACTTAATACGACCCTGGCATACATGTATAATAGATTTATGCTAAAATACAATGGAATAATTAGTTTCCTTGATATCGGTCTCTGTTTCGCTTTGTAGTTGCTCGAACGTATCTCTAGGATAATAATTTCAAAAGTTCAATTGCAATCATGTTTTATGTTTTCAGTTCTATAAATGTATTCAAAGGGTGGATAAATATGATGATATATTTAGCAATGCAATATGGCCACGACCTGGTTTGGTCATTATTTCAAACTGATTTTTTTCTTTTGAAAATATGACGTATAATAGAATCGCAGTTTTTAATTATTCACCTCACATCATTTTATATATTCTCAGTTTGGAAAAGCATTGTAAAAGAAACCAGATCCATCTGTTAATCTAAAACAGATATAACTTACAGTGTTGATGCCGGTTCAATAAATTCTGTTTCAGAAAACACTGTTGGCTGAGGTGGTTTTTGCTTCTTCCAACCTGTGTTATCAAATATAACATTTGCTTTTAAATAGTTTGAAAATATTAAATTGTTTCTGCGTTTATAAGTATATAACCTTTAGAACGTTCAAACACATTAAGTTTGCAAATAATACCGTTCATAATGAATGGCATATACCAACTTTATACCACTTAATTGTTTTATATAGAAATGAATCATAAAAAAATAATACAAGCCTTCAAAATAAAACTTCGTTAAAAAGATCTAAAGTATATAGTATTCAAAAATGATTTTAGGTATTATCGATAACTGTAACACACTTCTTAGCTCATATGAAAGCTGATAAGAAATTATCTGTAATTAACACATTAGTGTGATTACCGACCGTTACTTTTTAAGAGTCCTTTTCTAGTAAGAAAAAACATTGTACAAATCACACCAATAAGACTTCCAACAGCTAATGCAGCAACCACAGACCCAACTATAGCTTCGACTCCTGCACCGTTTTTAGCTCACCTGTCACAAAGTGACAGGGTGAGCTTTTGTGATCGCTTTTCGTCCGGCGTCCGTCCGTCCGTAAACTTTTACTTTAAATGACATCTCCTCATAAACCACTAAGCCAATTTCATCCAAACTTCACAGGAATGTTCCTTTGGTGGTCACCTTTAAAAATTGTTCAAAGAATTTAATTCTATGCAGAACTCTGGTTGCCATGGCAACCGAAAGAAAAAACTTTAAATATCTTCTTTTAAAAAAACATAAGAGCTAGAGCTTAGATATTTGGCATGAAACATCTTCTAGTGAGTGTCTACCAAGTTTGTTCAAATAAAAGCCCTGGGGTCAAAATTGGCCCCGCCCCAGGGGGTCATTGATGCTCCCAATATTCATATAGTAAAAACTTAAAAAATCTTCTTTTAAAGAACCCAAAGAGCTAGAGATAAGATATTTAACATTAAACATGTTTTAATAGGTGTCTACCAAGTTTGTTCAAATAAAAGCCCTGGGGTCAAAATTGGCCCTGCCCCGGGGGTCATTGATTTTCCCTATATGCATATTGTAAAAACTTAAAAAATCTTATTTTAAAGAACTCAAAGAGCTATCATGGCTAAGATATTGAGCATCAAACATGTTCTAATAGGTGTCTACCAAGTTTGTTCAAATAAAAGCCCTGGGCTCAAAATTGGCCCCGCCCCAGGGGGTCATTGATTTTCCCTATATGCATATAGTAAAAACTTAAAAAATCTTCTTTTAAAGAACCAAAAGAGTTAGAGCTAAGATATTGAGCATCAAACATGTTCTAATAGGTGTCTACCAAGTTTGTTCAAATAAAAGCCCTGGGGTCAAAATTGGCCCCGCCCCAGGGGGTCATTGATTTTCCCTATATGCATATAGTAAAAACTTAAAAAATCTTCTTTTAAAGAACCAAAAGAGTTAGAGCTAAGATATTTAGCATGAAACATGTTCTAATAAGTGTCTACCAAGTTTGTTCAAATAAAAGCCATGGGGTCAAAATTGGCCCCGCCCCAAGGGGTCATTGATTTCCCTATATGCATATAGTAAAAACCTAAAAAATCTTCTTTTAAAGAACCCAAAGAGCTAGAGCTAAGATATTTAGCATCAAACATGTTCTAATGGGTGTCTACCAAGTTTGTTCAAATAAAAGCCCTGGGGTCAAAATTGGCCCCGCCCCGGGGGGTCATTGATTTTCCCTATATGCATATAGTAAAAACTTAAAAAATCTTCTTTTAAAGAACTCAAAGAGCTATGGCTAAGATATTGAGCATCAAACATGTTCTAATAGGTGTCTACCAAGTTTGTTCAAATAAAAGCCCTGGGGTCAAAATTGGCCCCGCCCCAGGGGGTCATTGATTTTCCCTATATGCATATAGTAAAAACTTAAAAAATCTTCTTTTAAAAAACCAAAAGAGTTAGAGCTAAGATATTTAGTATAAAACATGTTCTAATAGGTGTCTACCAAGTTTGTTCAAATAAAAGCCCTGGGGTTAAAATTGGCCCCGCCCCGGGGGTCATTGATTTTCCCTATATGCATATTGTAAAAACTTAAAAAATCTTCTTTTAAAGAACTCAAAGAGCTATGGCTAAGATATTGAGCATCAAACATGTTCTAATAGGTGTCTACCAAGTTTGTTCAAATAAAAGCCCTGGGGTCAAAATTGGCACCGCCCCGGGGGTCATTGATTTTCCTTATATGTGTATAGCAAAAACTTAAAAAATCTTCTTTGAAAAAACCCAAATAGCTAGAGTTAAGATATTAAGCATGAAACATCTTTTAGTGAGTGTCTACAAAGTTTGTTCAAATAAAAGACCTGGGGTCAAAATTGGCACCGCCCCGGGGGTCTTTGATTTTCTTTATATGTGTATAGCAAAAACTTAAAATATTCTTTGAAAAAACCCAAATAGCTAGAGTTTAGATATTAAGCAAGAAACATCTTTTAGTAAGTGTCTACAAAGTTTGTTCAAATAAAAGCCCTGGGGTCAAAACTGGCCCGGCCCCAGGGGTGTCATTGTTTTTAACTATATGTGTATAGTAAAAACTTAAAAAAATCATTTTTTAAAAAGCCCAATGAGCTAGAGCTTAGATGTTTAGCATGAAACATCTTCTTATGGGTGTCTACCAAGTTTGTGCAAATAAAAGCCCTTGGGTTAAATTGGCCCTGCAACGTTGGGGGTGGGTGGGGGTTGGGGGGCCTATATACAGGTGAGCGACCTCAGGGCCATCATGGCCCTCTTGTTGTTTTTGCCTGCAATCATAAAAAAATTCTGCACCAAGCAAAACTTCTTTCATAAAAATATCTCGAAAAAAAGATCCATCAGATGCATGAACATTGCATACTCGGTTTGATTGACTTTGTACATGAGGGATAAAGAAATAGTGCAACATCCCTCACGCCCCATAGCACCGACTTGAGTATTCATATTAACTTTTTTCTTTATTTTTCAAGCGAAAACCCTGGTGTGTGTGTCACTTCTAAATTATTTATTTATTTAACCTTTTACTGCATAGGTATATTACGAAAAATGCTTGTTTTCATTGAAAAGCCTCCTATAACAAGTTCAAATTGCTATGAAACGAAACTATGAAAAATGATTCAATACTGATCAAACTTGGCACAAATATTGACTGGCCTTTGTAACAGCATGCTCAATCTTAAAGTTCCTGTCATCTCAAAGTTGACAAAAGTCACTATATTGCGTTAATTTTTTTCCATCAAAACCGGTAACAAAGTGCTGCAACTCCTCAATTGATTGAGATAGAGTCAAAGGCTAGGGGGCGTGAGGAATGTTGCACGTATTCATTATCTCTCATGTACAGATTCAATCAAACCGAGTCTGCAATTCTTATGTAACTTTGATGTGATTAATGCTTCCGAGGGATCACTTTGTTTCCAGTTTTTTTTTACTTGGGGACCATATGCCGCTTTTCATGGAATGGTACTTACGTGTCAAATTGAAGGTTCCATTATGAATACATCTGCGGATGTTTCAAACTTCAAATTTGTACCAGTTTGTAGTAAATGTTGAATTCTGCTTAGGACGGTGCTGGGGGCCGTGGACGGTGGTTTGCACTTGGCGGTGCCGTCCATGAGCAGGCTCAGTCAAACCGAGCCTGCAAGATGTTCAATTATGCCGTGTTGGGCTTTCTTTATGGCTTCTTATTTTCTCTATTTTGCCGCCTTTTTTGTACAGACTCAATCAAATCGAGTCTGCAATTCTCTTGTAATTTTGTTGTAATTAATGCCTCCGAGGGATCAATTTGTTTTTCAGCGTTACGTCAAGATTGACCTTTAGCCATTTTTAGCCAAAAAATGTTTACTAGCCAATTTCTCAGACAAAAAGTAGTGTTTGTGGCCAAAAAAGAATTTTTCACTTTTTGAGGCCTAGAGGGAGGGGGCTGGTGGTGGTGGTGAAAAGCCGCCAAACACGTCTATATGAGTTTAAAGGTTAAAACAAATTTGATCAGAACTCTATTTGCAAACTTTTCATATGCATTAGTTTTAAAATGATCCTGTTCCGCCTTTTGGCAAAACATATCCAAAATATTTTTGATATTATTATCTGCCTAAGAAGCAGATAAAACTGTTTACAAAAACCAGCTAATTGGAAAGCTTTATCGAATTTATTTAATGTTCGTGGCGTAATATGAAACAACAGCAAATGGCTCGATGTAAGCAAGTAATTTTACATCATGACGACATGTATATCATTTGAACATGTACTAGCATGTAAAACTGGTGTTATACGATGTGTGCATAGTTACCTATAACTTATACTCAACTAATTAAAAGTTAAAAGAAGTAACATAGTAACAGTTTGGAAGGATACAGTTTGATATAATTGCATTGTACCTAAATTATACTATACTAGAAAAAAATATCGTACATATATGTGACACCTTAAAAATCTGAAATAATTTTGTTTATATTTCAACTGGTAAAAATAGACAAACATTTATTACGCTCCTGGTTACAATAGAAAAAGTGAATCGTTATAATAGAAGTGACAGAGTCAATGCATTTCTATTTTTAGTTCTAATGGACTCTATTTGTGTGCATTATAACGTTACAATTGGTGTCCAGTGTGAGGGGATGTAGACAACTGCCAAACCGGAGTTGCAGTACACACACATTTCCCAGGCCAAGTCTCGGGACGAGACTTTTGGAGGGGAAAGTGATGTAACGCTGATGGTAGAACGTCATAATACTCATAATGAGCATAACAGTATGCACATACTAAAGGTGGTGAATTAACATGCAAAAAAGTATCCAAAGTAAATGGGCATAAACCACTTTCTGTGGTGAGCAAGCTTTTCACCGACAGTCTTTTCAGTACGTGAAATCGTTACACTTCTAACCATCATGTTGCTGTTTTATTTTGTTTATAACGTGTAAAGGGTGAAGAAAATGTTTAAATAAGTAAGATTACATAATTATATTTACAGATAGATGGTATTTGAAAGACATATTTAACTTTTTTTATGTAAACTTCAGTAATAAATAAGATAACGATTTTTATGCTGTAAAGCTCACGTGACAACACAAGGTTTCAATGCTATGATTTAACGAAACATCCTTGAAAAGCGAAAAAAAAAAGAATAGTACACACTATCATTGTTGATACAGCAGTAATTAAACACATGAACAATTTGAAAGGAGGTAAGTTTATTAAAACTTTTACTTATTATGTCACGTCACTAGTAATTTTTTATTAAGAACAATTGCAAAGTACATTCAGACATATAAGGTCAATTTCATGACATTTGAAAGAGTTAGACTTCTTTTTTATTCACTCTCGTTAAAGGCAACATAAGTATAAAAATTAGTAACATAGACACACAGATCAATACATGGAAAATTGTGTTACCTTTTGTACAAGTATTATCCCCTGTCCTTTTACCATCTTGGTCAGCTTCAATAAAACAAATAAAAAAGAACACTTAACATATACAGAACAGCTCGTTAAAATTATGTTTATATTAACAAAACAATTTGCTTGCTTCTATGTGTTCTTGTATATCTAATTCGGTGCCTCGTCATATTAAGATAATACTACAAGTGAAAGTTTGTGGTTATACGTGCAATTGAGTTGATGCTTATAATAATTTTGTGTGCATTGGTTTTCTTCAAAAGTTGTCATGCTGCTTGTGAGTGAAACCATTCTGAGTTACATGTTCATCAATAGCACCTAGTGCGTAATATTAGCACAACATAAATTTTCACTTACAGTTACTCGAAATGACTTTTCGAAACGCTGTCTTACATCTTGAGAGAACAGATTGTTCTTATTTATTCTTTCTTTCTTTTCTGATGTTTGATTTTTTTATGTCAGTTAAGGTGGCATCACAACCTGTATGTATGTCTACAAAGACCTTTAATCATCACAACTACAACACGTTCTCCTGCACTATCTTATGAACTAATTCATTAGTTGCTGTTAATGAACGGAATGTATCATGGGATAGACTTATATTCCTTGAAGACCTCTCTGAACCAATTATACCGCTTGGTGATCTAAACTGCATACTGCAAGCTGATTTCGAGCTATAAACAGTACACATAGCAAACATTTCGTCCTGTTCTTAAATCGACTTCAGGCAGGAATTTGTAAAATGTTTAACTATAAACTATAAATTATAACAAACAATCGCTTAAATATTACATCTCTGTACAGGAATCTGGGGCTCATTTAATCCTCAATTATCATGGACTTATGCTAAAAAAAAATGGCATCTCAAGCCCAAAAGTTATCTTAGCGTTAAATGTGTTCAACAACCTTTCGGACATTTTTAGCTATGATTTGTGGATCATATGAGTAAACCAGTCTTATGCTATGGGTTACAAATATGAGATTTTGAATGTAGTCAAAGTATGGAATAGGTACTTATTTCTTTTCGAAAATATTTATCTGTAAAAATTTAACAAATACTGCTATGGTTTTAGAAGAATGCGGTAGATTTGCTCTTAAGTATTTCGTATATGACAAATTGCCATACGCTATTTTTGTAAACTTCTGACCATGCCTTTATCTTATCAAGATATCCGAAACAGTTTTATTTACTGTTGAAGTCACTAGACGAAAGAGGTCATCTATGTTTGGTCACCGAATGAAATCATGTACTGTTTAAGTATGGTTTTGGTTTTGTTTAATTGGTGACATCAATATGTAAGCAAATAAATCTCATTGATAGTTGTACTCAACAATAGCATGAACATACGGCGAATTCTAGTCGGTGTTTTCACATCACCTTTAAATGCTGAATTGCAACCTTGATTGATAATATTTTTATCGACGCATGAAAAAAACTCTGAAAAAACACTTATATATTGTATTTTCCCGAAAAGTATATGTATTTACACATGTTATTACCAATCGCCCTTTATATATATTCTAATATTTAATGTGTTTCCTTTAATGCAACAGTGTCCCTTAACATACAGCATAATTTGTATCGAGTTATTTTGATTAATAAACTTTTGAGCGAGAAAAACTCGACTTGGATTTGTGGCCCGCGGTGTTATTTAGCGGTATAGTATGCGTGTTTTCTCGCATTATTGTCAATTTTTATGTTATCATTGTTTTTTTTTATCAATTTTGTATATATAATTGCTAATATAACCATACTATATATAATGTTTTACATGATTTGTTTCAAGCAGTCGGTGCTCAAAGCGGCGCATCCCTTGTAGCGTGTCTACCGACCAAGTATTTAATATAATTTATTTTAATCTGTTTTTTTCCGTTGATGATTTTTACCCTGTAAATTTCTATTGAATCATTTGTTTATATTTTATTAGTATAATTAATATCCTTTATATATTGAAAAACTGCTGTTCTTATTTGTTCTGCATTGGTTTTTGGGAGATCTAATAACGTTGTAAGATCTATTACTGCAAAACCTAGTTTCTGGATAGTTGCTTCTAACTCCTTAGGCGGTATTACATGACGTTTGCATTGAAAGAACATATGATATATGGTTTTCGGCTGATTATATTCATTGCAGATATTTTCGTTCGTAAAAGAGTGGCCCTTTAGAAAAGTTTTATCTAATTTTAAACGTGTGTATATTTTATCTAGATGTTTGTTATGGTGATATTGCGTTAACTTACTGGGTGGAACTTGATTTATTTTTATGTTATTTGTAGAACAATATTCGGCCCATAATGCATTTTTTTTCTATTATCTATTATACGGTTGATTAAACTGTAAACTTTACGTATACTTAATGGTATATCGCACGTGTTACCGTTGAGACTAGCTTGTTTCGCACATTTGTCGGCTTGTGCGTTTCCGGTAAATGCGACGTTACTTGGTACCCAGACTAATATTAATTCATATTTCAATGAGCGCATAAGGGATGCTTTCTTTAAGATATTATTACACATGGCTTGCTAAAACTGTCGGTGAATATGGCAGTCTTTTTGTACTGATTTTTTATTATTAACTCAATAGCTTGGTTTTTAGCCACTTTTCACAGGTATATATTGACGCGTATTTGTTATTTTTAACCTTAATTTCATTAATACATATGTCGTTTTTATCGAATATTACTATGCCAGCCCCGCTATACCCTCATCCGGGTCCTTACTACCATCTGTGAATATTTGATGATGATCAGCGTCATTTTCATTGTTTGAGTTTGATTTATCTATTTTCCTTGTTAATGTTATATCACGGATTTACATTGCAACAGATTTACAAAAAAATATAATGATATAAATATTGCATCTTTGATCATCTGTGAATAACTTACATCGGCTTTTTTTTATTTTGAAATTGAATTTATTATGTTACCATAATAATAAATTTCAAATACCTGCTTTTTATATAAAAAATGTAAATTTACCGCGGATTTCGTCAAATTAATGTTTTAATCGTCGTTGCGGACAGATAAACTGTACCTTTAAAAAATAAATTATTTATTTGAATTAAACAAGTGTTTTTCTTCAAAATAAACTTAATATTTTCAGATAATAAATGGAAAAGCTATATGGTATTTCGTAAAGTAGGTATCCGTTGCGAACGAGCATTTACGCTTAGCGCTGATAAATTATCGATCGATGTACCTTTATCGGGTGCACGACAAGATATTAAAGCAGTTATATAGGGTTAACTGGGAGTGTCCGATCCCTGTAATATAAATCCGTGGTTATATCAATATTTATGGGGATATATCTATTATTCTTTCATAACATGGTTTTGCTATTTTTATGTCAGTTATTTCGTACTCTTGTACTAATTTGGCAACATTGTGCGCATAAGGTATTTTTTATGCGTCTTTTTAAAGAGGGGTCTTCACCTATTTTACTGTTTATTGGTAAGTTATCGCCTTGACTTATTGTACGCGCTCAGTATTTAAGAGTACACTTTCCTCGTTGTAGATCTAATTTAAGTGTATTCGTTTCAACATGTAATTTTTCAGCATTCGCAGAGGGTAACTTCATTAATGTACTGATTAAATAGCTTTAAATTTACATAAAATTAAACTAGACAAGTAGCTTTGCCTAAGGTAAATGGTGGACTTCGCAGGCATCTTAGCGTGTAACTGATAACGATCGCTGATTGGCGTATCTCTGTGACCCTGTCAGCTTGATTGACAGACGGCGTAATGTCAATTATCAATGACTGCATGTTTATATTTGATACAAAATAACTACTTGTATGACTTTATGCTACGCATGCCTTACGGCACATTTGTTTTTCGTCACTTATTAATTAATCGCTCGTATTTTTAAAATCTGTATGATACAGATTAGATTTCTATTTTGAGCATATTACCATTTTATCTTATAAATATTTTTTATTATTGTTAGTTTGTTTTAAAAATTTCACTACTGATTTTTCATCCGACGATGATAATAACAGAAACATGAAACACTTTCCATTATCGGAATTGCTTGTTGTTTTTCATTATATGAACACTATTAAAAGTTTTTGTTTGTATTAGGTTATTATTACAACTAAACGAAGTAATCAACATCATTTTTTGTTGCAAAAAAAAAAAAAAAAAAAAACTGACGGCGGTATTGGTATGTAATAAAATCAAATAAGAAATCAAATAATTCAAAACCGGGGAGACTTGCCATTTAGCTTGTGGTCATTAAAGCTTTTTAGAAACTTTTTAATTTAAATGGATTTTGTTGATTAATTCGTTACATATGATACTTATATTACTTATATATTATTATTATATTTTTATCATTATTATTATTGATTATTATTACTATTATTATTATTATTATTATAAATTATTATTACATGTATTATTATTATCATTATTATTAATATTTTAAATTATTATTATATATTATTATTATTATTATCATTATTTTAAATTATTATTATATTATTATTATTATTATTATCATTATTATTAATATTATAAATTATTATTATT